GTCAATAATTTACGGGTTACATTCGGGTCGGGTCATCTTCAGGTCAGTTCATATTCTGGTTCGGGTCTCACATACTCGGGTCAACAAGGGTCTAGGGTTGGGTCGGGTCGGGTATGGGTCACAATTTTTTCGGGTTCAGATGGGTAGATTAATAATCGGATTTGAGTCGGTATTTTGGACCGGGTCAACTTTTGACAGCTCTACTCGTACATTGACAAGCATGATGGTATTTTTTACAACAAGCATTTTACCTGTTAAAAAAAATATTTTAGAAAATAACGGTACAATGCATATTATCATGGGTATTTTTCATAGTTTCTACCCTAATTCAGGAAATAATCAAAACTAACCAAGTTAGTTTAGCTATACGCCTATACAAGGTATGGACAACAAGTTCATGACATGCAATCATGCATACTATATTTAATTATGTGATCGATGTGATTAAGGAATATGATAGTGATGAAATTATAATTCAAGAGCTACACTAAATTTCTTCCTTCCTTTTTTTTTTTTTTTTTAATAGCACAAAATTTCTTTCTAGTTTGATAAGAACCATTGAAAAGTAAAAATATGATATCTAAAATTCGTAATATGTTTATGTCGCTATTCTTACAGCAAAAAAAAAAAAAAATTAAATAAATAAATAAATAAAATAAAAAACATTAAAGGGGATTAATCTAATTTAGGATGAATTCAAAAATAATACTTCATAATTGATTTATAAAGAGTTTTGAACCGACCAAAAACCCATTTTTTATATTTCTTGGCCCACTAAGCAGACTAGTTTCTTTAATTTTCACCAAGTTTTGAAAACCCCTATTTTGTGCTACGCACTCACCAACCCTACATGTGGGTCTTTTGACCCGTACAACTGTCATCCTAGTCAATCTATTCCTGGTTTGCAAGCCCATCCATTATAAGTTCTCTTTGTATATACTTGCTCTAATTCTCCATACCCGGAGTTTTAGGAGAAATTGGAGAAAGTAGTAAAATATGAAGGTAGACATGTTGGTGAAAGAATAAAAAATTTTAAAAAGCAAAAGTAATGCAGAGAATTAAGGAGAGAGAATATAAAATTAATAAAATATGATTTATGTTGGGTCCACTAGTTAAGGAAAATGAATTAATTATAGTCCAAGCTTTCAAAATAAGGAGATGAGACAAGTATTTAAAAACGATCGTAAAAGAATAGTGAAACAAGTATTTAAAAACGGCCAGAAAAAAAAAGTAGCGCAAATATTTTAATCTGTAGGGAGTATTAAAATTTACTGTAAGAAGATATTTCTTTTGGGTCCCTTTTAGAAGTAAATCAAAACTATCCAAAGGTGGTAAAAACTACAAATTCAACTTTATAAAAAAATGGTGAAAAAAATTTATTAAAACAAAAGAAAAACGGCGAAAAGTCGGTATTAAAAATCCATTTAATTTTACATCTATTCAATCATCTAATCCTTGAGTGACTCAATTTCATTTCCATCTTCCTTCAAGTTCAACAAACAGGAAGAAAAAATGAGTGTAATACTATTTATTTCACTCTATTTTGTGTCGATAATACATGAAACAACTTCCATGCCGCATTATCTAGACAACAATTGCCCGAATTCTACCTTTGCTACAAACAGCAAATACAAATCCAACCTTAACACTCTCTTCAAATCTCTCTCAACAAAAGCCACCACTAATCCCTTCCCTCCCGGAGGTTTTTATAGCACCTCCACCGGCAACGGCACCAGCGATGCCGTCTACGGCCTCTTTCTCTGCCGTGGTGATCAGAACATCACGGGTTGTGGCGATTGTGTCAAAACCGCTACGACGACTGACTTACAAAGGTACTGCCCCAACTCAAGAGTCGCAATAATATGGTACGACGAGTGTATGGTACGATACTCCAACGAATCCCTTTACGCTAAAATGGCCGAAGACCCCTCATCTTCCTTTATGAACGCGAAACGGTACGAGGGGAACCAAACACAATTCTTTGAGATTATGTGGAATACCATGAACCGTTTGGCAGGTGAGACTGCTAATAATCGAACCGCTAAGAAATTCACCACAAAAATGGTGAATATAACTAGATCAGTCACTTTGTATACAATGGAGCAGTGTACACCGGATTTGACTCCTAATGATTGTAGCCGATGCTTGATGAAAGCCATCGGATTATTGGAAACTATGAGAGGTGCCCGAATTTTGATGCCTAGTTGTTATGTTCGGTATGAGACATATACGTTTTACATTGGTGCCGTTAATTACTCGTTGCCATTACCGACGACATCTAATATCACCATTCATGGTGATCGAGGTAAATTACACATTTTAATACCTTAATTTTTTTCATCAAAGTAATTTTTCAGTTTCAAATTAGATGATACGTTTTAACTTTTAATTCGTCTTGTGTGCGGCTGATGATAAAAATAAAAATAGCTCTTGTAACACTGATCAAGTAACACCTATAATATTGACGAAATAAGCTCTGTAACACTGACCGAGTAACCCTGAATTATAACACTTACGAAGTAACCCCAATTATAGGTGATCACACTGTATAAGTATTTGTATTTAACTTTCGATATTATTTATAGACTTTACTTTGATAAATTTTATGATTTACAATAGGAAAAAAATAAAATAACTATGTGAGATGGGGAGATCTTGTTAGAATTCATTTAATATGTATTTTTAAAATATTAAATATTTATAATTTTTTTATCAATAATTAGAGATATTCTTTGCTTTTATGTTCTTTATGATCTTCATTGTATAGTTTTTCATGATATCCTTATGTGTTATTAGAGGTAAAAAACAAGCTATTTGCCTTGAAGATTGTTTTTTTTTTTTTTTTATATTTTGTTTTTAGAGAATAATAAGGGCAGGTGATGAGAGTCGATCTCAGGCTCTCCTGTAATCGAGAAGGAAGCTCTAACAACTTGAGCTATCCTTCACTTTTTAGAGATTATTGGATGTTAATAATCAATGCTAGGTTGACATATCAGTTAATGGTCCGGTTCAGGTTGAATCAAAATTCAGGGAAGCTTAATTTCTATACTAATACAACGTTAAAAAGATTATTTTATAAAAATTATAAATACCCGAAGCTGAGCAAAATGAGGACATAAGGAGAGAACATAACCTATTTGCAAAGTGTCAAATGTGTAGCAATCATACTACGGTACCATAAGTCTAGATTTTTGGATTATTATTACTACTAGTTGTTGGCCCGCGCGCAACACGCGCGGTCCCCCAACGGTGATTTTGCTTTGGTGATTAGTGTCTAATTAGCTGCTGTTTATCCTTTAATGTAATTCGCCGTAATTTGATTGTTGGTGGTGCTGTTTTATTAGACTATTTAACACAGATTATCATCGTATAGATGGAGCAGAATAAACGTTTTGCTAATATTGTATTAGAGTTTCGTTTGTTATATTTGTTAATATTGTATTATTGGAGAGTTTATCTTGTTTAGGAGTTCTAGGCAAGTTAGGTTTTACAATATTCTTTAGTTTAAAACTTACCATGCATTTCTATTGGAAATAACAAGAGTTATACAAACTTTATACATATTTTGCACTTTCTTGATACTCTATTTTTCATGACTTTAAGTATGAGTACGGTTTTATGAAAGAGGTAGTGAGTATGACTACATCGATATTTACAAAGCTTCAAGTTGGTCTTATGTATAAATAATATAAGCATCCTTTTTTTAAATTTTTTACTTATATATATATAATAAATAAAAGCATCTCTTTTTATGAAATTGGATATAATTTAATACAGTGATGTCTATCATACTTTAGTTCCATATCATTAAATATTAGTTGTGCACAAATAAGCAAATCTCGAATTCCTTTGTCATGGAATAAAATGAGATGTGGTTTATAATGACTTGAGTCATAATAAAGCATCTTAAAGTTCGATGAGAATTATCTAATTTTATGCGTTTTCATGTTAATTTGATCCAACTGTTTAAATAGTTACAATATCATAAATAATACATTAATAATAATGGTCACTTGCTCATGCTTTAAGGAATAATTAAAAAGAAATCAAACTTAAACAAATACATACCTACTGATGTATGCAAAGCATTACTTTAACTTTATTACAATTAATTAATTAATTAATTAGTTAATTAATTAATATACTTTGCATTTGACAATACCTTAAAAAAGGACAATTTTTGGATTAAGGTTCAATCCTAATATAGGCTATACACAAGTGTCTAGTCTAAATGGGTTAGGTCTGGTATACTCTATGGGCCGTAGGCTCATGGGCTCATTGTATTGATCATCTATGAATTGCAAACTACTGATCGAAATTAAAACCAAAAATAAAAAATCAGAATCAATACTATCTTTACCTCATTTAGTTGTCACTTTAATGTACATATAGTAGTTGAAAAATGTATGATAATTTAATTTTATTGGTGAATGTATCTACCTTGGTTATTTTTTGTAATAGTAGATCCTTTCGAATTTTTCTAGTGAGTAATTGCTTCAAATATTTCGTTTATTGGTGGAATGATCCATAAAAATAGTTTCATATTTATTATGATTTTGAACAATATTAAAAAATAATTTAAAAGTATATTAAATTACATTTATTAAGTAATAGTAATTATATTACATGGTAATATCGTGACTTTACACTATATACTTTAAGATACAATTTTTTCTAATGATATGTAAAACTTTTTTCGCTATTAGCCATCTAACGTGTAAAATTCTCCAATATGAAGTTGGTCAGTTGGTGTTGATCTTCTATTATGGAGTTTTCTATATCTACGGTTGTAATATTTAGTTAATTTGTATTATATGTATTAATGGTTTTTTTAGAAAAGTCTTGTTTACGTGAATGTTAGCTAATTAATGTGATCTTTTGAAAGCTTACTGCTCTCAATATTGTGTTAGTTATTTGATCATAATTCAAGCAGCTTTAAACAAACATCATAGTAATAAATTTCACCAAAAGCAATGTAATAAATTTTACGAAAAGCAATATACATAAACTAATATATTTTTTATAGATATATTTTAACATGCACATTAATTTAGCAGTACATTAGAATATAGTCCTAGTATGGTGTTTTCCAGGAACATTAACTATTGCTATTGTTCCTGGAAAACTCCTCAAAAGATTTCTCTCCACAGCATCTAATTCCTATATACATGAAATTCTGGAGATAAAATGAAGTTTAGTACTACACGATGCTGGAGCTTTTATAAAATTTTTCGGCAACTATCTATTGTCCTTATCATAATATGCTGATATACTGTCCCAGCGAAAGCGAAGTTCTTATAGTTGCCCATATACTTAAAGTCTAGCAAAAGATTTAATATGCAAAAGATTTTCAAGTAGTGCACCTTAAGTAGATAATCTTCAATACTTCATTAGCAGCATATATAGTTTCTTAGTAGTTCAGGGACTACTTTTCCTTGGTGGCAGATTCAACAGATGGCTTGTTAACCTTTTCAGTCTTCACAATAATTGGTGTGGTTTGCCTGTGCTCAGATCACAGAGGCTCAGCTACATCTTCAACACGATCCTTTGCCAAAGGTATTGTAGGATTTTGACCTGCAGTGTCCTTCTTCGTAGTCATTCCACCAAAGCAAAGTTTCTTTTTCGCCCCGACTTGTGATAGTGGCACTTGGGATTCGCTTTCTTCACTTTCAAATTCCATAGGACTTTTTCCTAAGGATTTCTTGCGCTTAAGTGATTCAATACTTTGCTGAGGGGTGTAAAGTGTTTCAGTGTAAGGCTCTTCTTGTGTATGCTTGTCAGAATTTTTCTTCAAGTTTGGGGTAGGAATGAACGGTTCAGAATTACCTGACTCAATAGTGTTCTCTGGAACCTTTTCACTTGCATCTTTTTCTTGGCTGAAGTAACCAGCAGATAGTTGCTCAGCTTCTTGGGTGTGAGGATAACTCCAGAACATTGTTCTGACCCAAGTGCCAAGTAGGTCCAACTTTAATATAGAACGGTGTGCTGCTGAGTAAGTCTTGAATGGTCTTGAATGCGTTGTGATCATCCTGCGTTGATTTTGTTATAACAGCAAGCATTAGAATTAACTGAAAGAGCACGTGTAGAATCGTTACTCATATAAAATAAAAATGTAATCTGTATAAGCACTGATTTCATGTAAGTAGATTGCTTTATTGGTCTTACATAATGAATTATGTAGAGAAGATTTCAAGTGTTAAATTTAACTTGATTAATCCTAAGTCTAAGCATATTGTTGCCTATAACTTTAATTTTCTGAATGCAAAGTTTTTTTAGTATTCTTTGTAAGGTTAAACTGCACATATAGGCTGAAAATTTTTTGAATGCAAAGTTTTTTTAGCATTCTTTGTAAGGTTAAACTGCACATATAAGTTGGAAAGTAAATAGAAGGTAAGAATATCGTACATTAATTTACCGATTCTTTAATGGCATAAATTTCAGCTGCAGTTTTCCTGAATAATCTTTCTGTATCATCGTTGAAAGTGGTGAATGCCATAGTTCCTGTGGTGTCGCTAGCTTCAAATTTGAACGTAATTCTGGTACAAATGTAAAGTAAGCATTGTCATCTAGAATATTAATAAATAGTAATGGATATAAAAGGAAACTTGTTTTATACCTTTTAGTGCAGATGCATTCTTTGTTCAAACAAGAAGAGCAAGAATAGCGCTTCTGCAATGGAAGGTTGGTGCGCTTGCAGCAGTTTGAGCAGCCCGTATATGCATTCACTTTTTCTAATTCAGCATCCTGAATAGTCACTTCAATCCATAAAGTTTCTTCTTGCAAGGTGTTACTTGGCTACATGTACATTATATTTATGAATATCAGTTAGAATCTGTATACTTGATTATAGTTTAGCATGAATGTCTTTAAACAGGCAGTAATTCCTTAATGTTTACCTTTTTCTGCTTTAGTTCAGCAATGGAAACAATTTTTTTGTTTTCACTTGGGTACCTTACATCTAAGACTCTTGCTTGTCTATCTACTAACCTCTGGTGGAAGAGATTAGCCCTGACACAATGTTAGTTAAAGAGTAGATCAGCACACTGTAAAGGCTATTATTTTTGTTAGTTTAGGTTTCGGAAATTACCAATCAGACACCACACGAGCTTGTTCTCCCTCAGGTTCATATATTATTCGAGTGGACATAGCAGAATTCATCGAAAAACCTAATATAACCAAGATGGGATCATTGATTCATCGCAATTAACCATTTACGTAAGTTATAGTAATATCTGTCTTACCACGACGAGTGTATGGTCTAAGAGTCGTGAATCCTATACCTTGAACGCTTCTGCCCAAGTAGGTAATTTGTCGAAGTACTTTCCTGCCGTAAGGTCATTCCACATTGAGATGGTGAGCGATCAATCACATCTGTTACATGAAATGCATATTCTTAGTGATCTTAATTTGTAATTTGTACCAAATTATATATCTGGCATATCCGAACATTTAGTTCTTTGAAAATGAACCTTTGATCAATGATGACTATTTCTCGCACCCAGCTTTCTCTCTTTCCATCTCTGGCTTCAACTTTCCTCGGCTCCTCTTCTACAAATAACACTACACCTACGACATCTGTGAATTAAGACAACTTTGTTAGCCTTTTAATTATCTAACTTTGGTGCGAGATTGTTTAGTAAGTGCATTATACCGTATTTCTCATCAGGATCTACCGCACGAGGTATACTTGCTATTGGTCGATAGTTGGGCAGAATTGGTCCAAGCTCTGGATGTACTGGCTGAATTACAGTTCTACTACCAAAAGTCATTTGGTAAGGAAACTAATCAAGTTCAGTCCTCCATTTTTCGTCAATGAATTTAATTGGCGCAGCAGAAATGTCATACTCTCCGAGGTACTGTAATGCCTCATCAAAGGCTTCAATTTGATCGCCAAATAAAGTACCGCGCATTCTATTACCCTGTGAAGCAGACATCAGTAATTAAGTTCAATGACCATAACCATTATATTATAGTTATGCATCAAAATTGTTAACTATATATACCTTGTTGTTAGGTAGGGAGAATAAGGCGTCACTGCTCTTTGATTTAAATTGCATACAATATGTGCTTTGCTTAATATAATTGTTGCTCAGACAAAGTTACTTTATCACTGATGTAATTGACTATAAATGATAAGCAGCCATTCAAAACTTTTAACAACATTAAGCTCTGTAGAGTAGCGTTATTAGAAGGTGGTTTTATTCTTATTGTAAAATAAATCTAAAAAGCTAATATTTCACTTGAATTTTTATCATTTAGACATAAGTGGAATTGCATTATAGTGTAATTTATAGTATAATTCAGGTAACTAAATGTTAATCTGAGTATGATTATTGATTACAGCATAACTAAAATTATATTAAAAGCTAAATCACAATATAAAAATAGTAAAGTAATATAATCAGTCAAGCTGTTTTTTATTATTTGTTACTATAATTATTGTACAGCCTACCATATTGCCTGATATGAATTAAACTGCACTCAAACATGATCTAAAAATAGTAGTCTTGTTTATGTGAATGTTAGCTAATCAATGCGATCTTTTGAAGGTTTTCTATTCTCAATATTTTAGTATTTTAGTATGTGAAACCTTTTTACAGTGTAGTTTTTCAATTGCATCATAAATGTAGCAAATTTAGTATGATAGTCACATATAAAGTAATAAATGCATACCTTTTCATCCTTTAGAAGTAAAGTCTGGAATCTGACCGTTTTTTTGGAAGATAGTATGTCCCTTCCTTTTTCAGCAACAACCACCCTTACTATATAAGCCTTGCTTGCTGCATTTAATTGATTCAAGTACACATATTCTGGCTTCTGTCTTGTTGTTTGGTATTTCTGATCTGTGCATGCAAATGGTTCCAGTAATATTCTGGTTAGTAACAGCTTTTTATGAAATGCATAATTTTTCATCACTTATCTAGCTAATTCTAACTAATCAAGTAACTCACAAGAAATTTCTATAGGAATAAAAATATGCACAAGTAAAATTAAACTAAAATGCAAGGAATGTTGTAAAAGAGAGAACTATACCTTCCATGGTTAATTAAGTTTCTGGTAAGTTTGCTTTGTTGTGTGGAAAAACCGAAAGGCCAAGTAGCAAATCCCTTTATATTACCTAGGACAGAATATAAGAATAGAAAATAGAGCACATGTATTGTGCTTGGTTTGAGTAACAGTGTTCTGAATAGCCATTGGTTTTTTTAAATCCTTGTCACTGTTTATACTGTTGAGCCCATACTTCTGGAAAAGAAATTTGGGCTGCTCATTGTACTTTTTAATTAGTTTTCAAACATTGGAAAAGGTAAGTCCCTTTATAAACAATATAATAATGGTAGATTTTTTATGTGACAAATCTCAAATTATGACAGCCACAATTCAGTAAAATCTTTTGGAACAATCTTCCTATTTTTAGGGGAATTGCTTTTATACACTGTCATAAGCAAAGCATAACTTTAGGAATTCTGCTAAAAAAATGTACATAAAATTTAAAATACTGAATAGCTTTTAATATTAACTTATTTTCCATGCTTCAAAACATAAGTTATACAATTTACCTTAGTGGGCTAATGTGTAACCACATAGGTCTAAAAACCAAGCAGAAGAATAATTTTTGGCCCCAAAATGTAGAGTTTTTTAGCATCTTAACATCCTAAAGTTGAACAAATATCTCCTCATTTCCTAAATACAAGCTTCCTGCAATGTAAAATAAACCAAGCTTTAATTTAAGAATATTTCCAACTTGAATTGTATCCTATACATATAAAAGGCTTTGCAATTCACCCTAGTAAGTTTATCATTAGGCACATAGCTTTTACAGGCTTGGATCATCAATAAGTTGTTGGCCCATCCTTCTCTTGAAGAGCTTTTTCCTGCAATGTAAAAATGATAAGCTATTAATTTAAGCTGCTTTGGACTGTTAACCTGATTATTGGTGTCAAAAAAAGTGCTGCATAATGAAAAATAAACTCACTTTTCTTGGTTAATGCATAGTTGGTTAGATGACTCCTGCTAACTTTAGGACAGTATAAGATACCACATTTTTAACAGAGTTCTTTGAATGCTGTAAAGAAGGAGCTACTGATATAACCTTCACTTTATCGGCAGATCGTGCCCGTGAAAGAGCCACATACAATTGACCATGTGAAAAACATGAACGGGGAAGATAAACCAACACTTGATCTAAAGTCTGCCCTTGTGACTTGTTAATGGTCATTGCAAAGCTCAGTTTGATGGGAAATTGATTCCTCTGAAATTGGAAAGGATATTTCTGAGAACTTGATGGCCTGAGCTTGATTCTGGGTATAAAACATGTTCCCCTTGATACTGCCCGACAGAAATCACGCACTCGATTAAATTGGGCAAAAACCTTTTACATATAAGGCGTGTTCCATTACATAGACCCGAAGAGGGCAAAAGGTTTCTGAGCAATATTGATGGGCAGTTTTTTTTTAGCACAAGATTGTGAGGACCCATTCCTCCCGGACATAGTTTATTTAGAAATTCTGTAGGATATACGCTGCCACTATCATCTAGAATACTGTCATAGCTTGTATAAGTTATGGCTTCCCCGGAATCTTTCAATCATGAAAGAGTTTATATTATCGACATCCTCATTAATAGTGTCAGAACAGCCTTTTAGAAAAAATTGAGGATCTAAAGTGTCTGAACAAGTTCGGAAAAGAAGATTCAAGTAATCCAACTATTAGATCATCATCAGCTGGAAAGTCTGCACTATTTGCGAAGGCAACTCAACAAAATCACTTTCCAAAGTTTGCAATTCACCGTTTCCTAGTGCAAGCAAAAATTGACAAAATGAAGGATCTTCCTTGGCTCTTAGGTTCTCAGTTAACCTGAATCTTCTTAAATGCTGCCATATATAAGAACTCACTACACTTGCTTCAACAGCTTCTCTCTGAGTCTTATTAGGGACAACAGGCAACACTTGTCGGAAATCTCCACCGAAGACAATGACATTTCCACCAAATATTACATCATTATTGCATATGTCTTGTAACAGAAGGTCTAGAGTCTCTAGATTTTGTTTGTTTTCCATTGATGCTTCATCCCATATTATAAGAGCCGTTTCTTTTATTAATGCTGCTAAACTACTTTGCTTAGAAACGCTGCAGGCTAATGAAGCATCACTATCCATTGGAATCTTGAATCTTGAGTGTGCCGTTCTACCAGACGGGATATTTGCTGCGGCTATTCCTGATGTAGCTGTTAGCAAAACAATCTTATTCATAAGGCGGATCTCAGCATAAAGTGCATTGTATAAGAATGTTTTGCCAGTCCCACCAGGACCATCTACAAAAAATGCCCCTGGTTTTCCTTCCACTATATGCTGCATGATACATGTAAATATTTCCTTTTGTGCTGGATTTAGCAAGCTTCGGCTGTCTATACAAGCCTGAGGAATCGGAGCATCTAGTGCATCTTGAATGCCTTTTGTTCTATCAATTTCAGTATCATTGTTATCCATTAAAACAGCTAGACCACAGCCACATAATGACTTCCCCATAGCCTCTAAATGTTGTTCCACTGATCTTACAGTTAGTTTCTTAATTTTGCTTTCTGCACCAGAGTACTTTTGTGCAAAATCTTCTGACAATGCAGGATAATATTTGCGCCATAGTTCTGCCGGATCACTCGGCTGGCAAAATATAAGAACAGTTGCAAACAATCGGCGCAGAGCCCCGGGGAGCTGAATTTCAGTTGCTTCAGCCAAACAAATGCTTGCAGCATCATCTTCTTCCAAAATGCCAGCTTTAAGACATGCTTCCTTGAAAGTTGCACATACATAACCTTGAACTGTGCGTAAGTCTGTAAAAGATTTTGGACTTCTGACATTCAGTAATAGTAGTCGAAGGTAAAAGCGTTCACCTTCAGAAGGAGCCACAAAAGCTAAACGGCCAACCATCGAGTTTTTATTTTGTCGGTTGGACCATTTTTTGCTGAAGCATCCCACTTATAGTGTTCTGGAAATTCTCCATATAAGTAACCAAGACCATTATCATTAGCTGCATTCATACGAAAGAACTCTGTTAATTGAGTCTTTGCATAAACACCACTTGCAATACCTATATCAAGACGTTCATACGGGCGTACACAGACAATATTCATGTCTGGAATATGAACAGACAGAGGTAAGACTGGTGGATGCATCTCAAATAAATCAAACCCGAAAATTCTCCAAGCCGCTTCACACGGTGACACCCACCTTCCTGACTGAAACTGAGCAATTTCATCTCCAGAATTTCTATCTTCTGCCGAAATATTGAAGGCCACTCGATCATGTCCTTTGTAAACATATTTATATAAATATTTCACTGCTTTTATAGTCGAACAAACCTCTACATTTAAATGACAATCAAAGAGTGCTGCGAGATAAGGGTTATAAGGTACAACCCATCGATTATCTAACTCGGCATTTCTGACCTTCACTTGTTCTCCAGTATCACTTCTCTTATAACAAGGATAACCATCTTTATTTGTCGTTGTTTGTGCGGTGAATTGTTTTGGATATCCATTTTTACAAGAAAAGACATTATCCTTCTTTCTCATACAAGGGCACTCTGGATTTAATTGGCCACATGGTCCATGCATCATATGCCTTAATACAATCTTACGCAGTTCAGGCTGAGTAACAGGAGGTATCTCTGCACAAACATACCTATCATAATCAGCAGGAGATTTCATCTTATGCTGCTGTTCTAGAATCAACAAGAAATGAACATGCGGCAATCCTCTTTTCTGAAATTCTACAACATATATCATCGCTGCCACTTTTCCAAATACCATGTCTTTCTTGATTTTTTGTTTCAGAGCAATCAACTTCGCCCGAAATATACGAGCAACTAAATCAGGTCGGTCTTGGGCAGTCTCACCGGACTCTAGTTCGGCTTTTATCTCTGGCCAATTTGCATTGCATGTCATAGTGACGAAGAGATCTGGCTTCCCGTATTTCTGCACAAGAGCCATTGCATTCAGATATCTCCTTTTCATATCACGAGGGCCTCCTATAAATGATGGTGGTAAAATGAATTTATGACCAACATTAGCTGCACTTGTCTATCCACTCTCTACTGTGTCAAGAATACCCTTATAAAGATCTGCTCTTATTGTATCTTGATTTTGCCGGAAAAAATCTAACCTTGTATTTTCAACCTTGATATACATATCTGTGATGTATTGCAGAAATGCACGGCCTGCTCTTAAGAGCATGTTTCCTGGTCTAATTTGAAGCTTATAAGCATAGTACTCCCTTGCAGAGATATTCTTATCAGCTTTCGTATGTCTTCCGGAAGCTCCTATACACATTAAAATCCAAAAAAAAATTCAAACTAAGCATATTTTAAGGGAACATAGGCGAAGAAGCAATTAACCAAAAAATCCCATAGTTTTGATAGGAACTTACGAGCAGCTTCTGCATCCAGAAAATCTGCCGGAGTGTTCACTGTACATGATTGAATAGGATCAGGTTCTGCTGCCACTTGCCTATCTCCACCATAAGAATTTTTTTTTAGACCCTGATGCCAACCACATTCACCTCTTGGAAATAGCAGGGGATACTGTAAAGGGTCATAGCACCCATAAAAATGGGCAATCCGATGGGATTTAGCAGATTTTGCTGTCACAAGAACATGTGGCCATGAACTCTGACTTGATGAAACACTATCAGGCCAGATAACCGCAACTTCATCTGAAGTGGGAGCATTATACACCCTTTGATCTGGCACAGTGTTTGAATTTATTATAATGTTAGTACTTTCATCGACATTTACTTCTCTCAAAGATCTGAAAAATCTTGCATATGGATTATCTTTAGTTATTTGCATTAATTTGTCAATAACATCTTGTCTTAATTCAGGAAAGCAATTTGTTCTGTGTTTCAATTCATTTTGGCCATCATAGAAATAAAGCTGTAGATACTTTGGACCATTCTCATCTGGTATTAAGTCTGGTACAGAATGATATATTTGGCCATGTAATTTAAAGACATATATACCTTTGTATGTTTCTCTGTCAGTTTTACCTCCAATTGAACTAAAGGCAAATAGGTTATTGTATAATCGAGCATACTTTCTAAAATGCAATCATCTTCATCTCTTGAAGTAAAAAGTCTCACTAATTCAGGGGGATATTCATTCGCAACTATTTTAATATCACCATTGCCACAGCAGAAATGCAGGGTTTCAAACGCAAACTTTTTAGCCCCGCACTCAGCACAGTAGGTAGGCGGAGATAATTCTAAGGGTTGCGTAGGTAATGGTCTTCCTATAGTGGCCGCAGGGGCTTCTGTAATAGTATAAAAGGATATCTAAGATAATTGTATTGTGCAACAGCATATAAGTGTTAACTCTATTAACTGAAATCTTTACCAAGGCTTACTTTTAGCAGCATCCCTTAGCTGCTTTGAACTCTGTGCATTTGATGGTGGAACTCTAAGAGACACGGGTCTTTCTGTAGAGGTACGAAGAGAAAATTACACCAGGTCCAATTAAATAGCACTACATATATATTCACTTTATAAACCTAAACCAAGGAAAAATACCCACTTTCAAGTACAGTATATTTTGAAGGTCTTGATTTTGCCTTTTTGGACTTTGACTGTTCTGCTTGACTGTGCAAAGCATAAAGAGTTTATGAATTTGCTTCACAAAAAATAAAATCCATTATTATAAGTCATGTACTTTACCTAGAAGAATTATGATTTGATATCAAATCACTTATTCGCTTTGATTTCCGCCCTCTACTTGATGGTCTCTTAAAGTTAACAGGTGCATCAGCTATCATATACATATTAAAAGCAATAACTCAGCATTTTAAACATTAAACAAAAACATCGTAAATGAGTATAGCAATGAGCATATATAAAAAAATCCTTCCTAAACATCATGTCAATTTTCAGACATACCCATATTACTTTGGTGCAGATCAAGCTATCTCAACAATGCGCACAGGATATTGATGATTCCTGTTTATGTCATTTACTGTAAAAAGAAAACATATTAAATTCTCCGAAGCTGCAGTTCAGAAGATGTTTTTTGGTCTGTAAAATGAGAGGCTCTGCAAATTAAATCCACAAAAATTCTATCAACTTGATACATTAACCTGCACATTTCTCTCAATGATTCTAAGTAGATGTTTACCTGTTCAATATTTGTTCTGCTTAAAATTCTGTGAATTTGACACTGATCTCAGGTTCTAATTGCTGTACAGTAATTCCTGAATTTGACACTGATCTCAGGTTCTAATTGCAATACCCCCCTATTTTCAATGCCACAAAACAAAACAAAATGAATTCTACTAATCCACTACATTGCTTTGTATCTTATTAATGGTATCTGCATATCACTAACAATATTTGCATCAATTTCCTTTTAATTAATAAATTCTCTCTATCTCTCCTACATTACATGAGCCCTCTTTATTTTTTCTCTCTATCTCTCTGTACTCCAAAAATTGCCTAGTAGTCCTTCTTGGATTATTTATTTTTTTTAAAATTGAAAATTATCAAGTTCAATTATCAACTGCAAACGTACGAACGTTTTCATACCACAACTTCTTGGATTTTTCTAATACTCCATAAGTTGTTTTTTTGACTTTTCTCGATGGATATTTTTTCCACTAATTGGAATTTTCAAATGTAGATGTCTCATATCATATGACAAAAGTGTCCGTATATCTATCTAAAATCAGACGTCCATATTATTAATGTTTTACTATTCTAATTAGGAAAATTTGCAAATTGCAACCATATAAAGTTTTTATTTTGCAAATTGCAGCCATTTAAATTTTTTTTTTTGCAAATTGCGGCTCAAAAGTTTATTCAAATTGTGAATCGCAGCCCAATTCAACTTTTTAATCGGTTTACAAGTTGAAAAATCTTCGATTAAAGTTTTAGGAGTCATTTTAGGCCTTAGAGAATCGAATTGAGCTCGGAATTAGCAAAAAAATAACGCAAGTATCTCGTTTTGCGTAACAAAAGTGTATCGATTTGTGGGAAACTGTAAATATGAGACACTTAAGTTATTTTTTGGCTAATTCCGAGCTCAATTCGGGTCCCTAAGGGCTAAAACGACCCCTGAAACTTTAACCGAAGATGTTTCAACATGTAAACTGATGAAAAAATTGAATCGGGCTGCAATTTACAATTTATACGAACTTTTGGGCTGTAATTTGCAAAAAAAAAAATTAAATGGCTGCAATTTGCAAATTTTCCTTCTAATTAATGTTTTACTATGTTAAATATATTTGTTTTGAATATCTTATACTTCGTATATTACTATTACGTATACTAAAGAACTATTAGCAATATGTACAAAAATATGTATTATTTTTCGTGAATGTTTTTTAAAAAACTTTAATACATATGAGTATTATTTTTCGTGAATGTAATATGCAATACTACTAGAGAACAAATAGCAATCTGTACAAAAATTCCGATATTATCTTATGATAGATGGAATAACCTCTACGGGTTGCACTTGAACATTACATACATACATTTCTAAGGAACAAATATTGACTCTGATCATTAGTCATTTAGTGTCATAATAAGGTTTTAATTTATGCTTAATAGTTCAATATTCTTAAATTATTACTCTCACCAATTAATTTTATTAGTATGGAGTCTCATTTGAGTTTACAAGTGGACCGAATAATAAAAATATTTTGTATGCTCTTAAATTTAACAATATTGAATATAAACTTAAAATAATGCAGGAAAAGGCAAATCATCGACAAAGGTGGCCATCGCAATTGTTATCCCAGTGGTTGTTTTAATTGCTGCATTGGTTGCTTCTGGATTATGTTTTGCAAAGAAAAGAGCTAAAAGGTTTAATGATCTAGCTGTTGGAAGTGGTAAGAGGATATAACATAATTTGCAAAATTAATTAATATAATTCATCTTATAGCATAATTCATCTTGATTGTGGTTTCATTATTAGGTGAGGATTTTGCAACTCTTGAGTCCTTGCAACATGATTTGGTTACACTTCAATCAGCAACAAATAATTTTTCGGAGGAGAATAAATTAGGTGAAGGTGGATTTGGTGGTGTATATAAGGTAAGTCATCATTCATATTTTTTTCCCAACCTTTGAAATTTACATTCACTTATGCAATATATGACTTTAACTAATCCATTGCTTACCTTTTATTATATTTAAGTCAATTAAATTGTCTAAGTGATATGACCGTTAAAGTGTAACACTTTGAAAAATTGAGAGAGTAAAGAAAAAGTGAATATTTTGTTTATATTACTATACAGTATACATTAGTACATAATAGTACATATTGTAAAAGTTATTTTATTTATTGTTTACTTCGTATTTTCTTTAACATCTATATATATATATTTTGAATAAGCCTTTAACTAATCCATGACTTACCTTTTATTTTATTTAACTCAATTAAATTGTCTGAGTAATGCGTCGGTCAAAGTGTAATACTTTGAAAAATCGAGAGAGTATAGAAAAAGTGAATATTTTGTTTATATTACTACACAGTATACACTAGTACATAATATACAACCATGCAAGTACATATTGTAAAAGTTGCAACTTGGTCATTTTTCTCAGGGTATACTATCAAATGGACAAATTATAGCGGTAAAGAGATTGTCCAAAGGCTCTGGCCAAAGTGAACAAGAGTTCCAAAACGAGGCTTTATTCGTAGCTAAGCTTCAAAACAGAAATTTGGTGAGATTAATAGGTTTTTGCTTAGCCAGAGAAGAGAAGCTACTAGTGTACGAATATCTGCCCAATAAGAGTCTTGACCGTATTCTTTTTGGTATGATACTAGTTCGATCATTCAATGCACTTTGGCTTAATTTTGATGAGACATATGGATGATTCAGTCTTATAAATTTTATTTTATTTTTTCAATAATGTGGCAACTTGATTTATAGATCCTGAAAAACAAGAAAAATTAGATTGGGGAAGGCGCTTCAAAATTATAGGAGGGATTGCTCGAGGGATTCTTTATATCTCCACCAAGATTCTAGAGTCAAAGTTATACATCGAGATCTTAAAGCAAGTAATGTCTTGTTAGACGCGGATATGAATCCAAAGGTTTCTGACTTTGGCATGGCATGGACCAGAGCCAAGATAATACAAACAGGGTTGTTGGAACTTAGTGAGTACTCTCTTTTTTTTTTTTTTTTTTTTTTTTTTTTTGTCTCATTTGTTTTCAAGATCTTTAAAACGTGTCTTAAAACGAATATATTTATATTTCCATGCGTGTAATACCTATAGTAGGTAGTAATATTTGTATGCATGTATACCATACTATTGTGTTGCAGTGGCTATATGTCTCCGGAGTATGCAATGCATGGCCAATTCTCCGTTAAATCGGATGTGTATAGCTTCGGTGTAGTAATTTTAGAAATTATCAGCGGCAAGAAGAATACTAGTTTTCATGAATCAAGCTGTGACGGCAGTGATGACCTCTTAAGCTTTGTAAGACCCTTACTCTTGATCATTCTCTTAGCGCTTTAATTTGTTCTCTTTCACCTTAAAAAATATTGTAAATTAAAAAATCTTCAATAAAATAAAGTTTTTACCAATAAACAACATAACTTCAAATAACAAATATTATCGGGATAAATAACAATAAGTGTTAATTAGTAAAAAGAAAAAAAAAAATACTTTTTAGTTCAACAAAAATAAATTAAATTCAGTAAACATTTGGAGAACTGGTTTGAAACATGCAGGCGTGGAAGCTATGGAATGACGGTAAGCCATTGGAATTTGTCGATCCAATCATAAGAGACTCGTGCTCAAGTAACGAAGTGTTGAGATGCATTCACCTTGGTTTGTTATGCGTTCAAGACAATGCTGATGATAGACCCACAATCGCTACAGCACTGCTCATGCTGGACATTGACTCAGTTAATCCTCCGGTGCCAAAAGAACCAGCTTATTATATCAGAGCCACAACGTACAATTGTGCAAACGATTTTGGTTCAGATCAATTAAACAACAAGTCCATACCCTTTTCCTTGAATGAAATAACTGTGACTGAAATCGAACCTAGATAAGGCATACTCGGCTGGTCTAGATATCGATCTGAGGTGCACTTTTTACTTACAATAATATAGATGAAGCAAAGATTCATATACAATGTATATTGATGTGTGTTCTATTGTTGTGTACTACTCGTCATATTTGCCAACTATGTAACATATTTCAAGTACATCGTTAATTGAATTTCTACTATGACGTTTATAGCTTGTAGACTGCGAATTTTGGTTGTTAAAGTTTTACGGGTAAATTATTTGTTGTAGACTGCGATTTTATTTATTTATTTATTTTTTCGGGTAAGTTTTACTATTTATTCTCTCTTCCTCCATCGCAATTTCTATATTTGTTTTCCAATCGTCTTCATCGCTCAAATTATAATCCCCTCTCGCCCATTTTTTTCACTTCTCTACTCACTCTAGCTTCTCATACATCGTCGTTGTTTGAGGTATTGTGAGACAAAAAAGTTCATTATTGATTGTGCAAATGCTCAACAAGACAATCATTCTATGGATTGTCACCTTTTTTCGCACTCATTAAAACTTTAAAACCCTATCATCTAGCTAAGCACCTACACAGGAAGAGAGGATTAGCTAACCCTTGGGTGAATCCGGAGATAACCACTCCGATGGTAAAGTTAGAAAGTGTTTGAGAGAAAAGAGAAGACGACATGAAGAGAGAGAAATAAAGAGAGAGTAATAAATGCTACCTTTTAATTTGGAGAATCCTACCTATTTATAATGATTTCAACTGCCAGGTGGTTGCATGCCATGCAAACAACTTTATGCCAAGTGTCGATTAATCAACACCATATGCTCAGTTTTAAGAGGCGCCTTCATGTCGTTATGTGACGACGTCGATATGGGTTTCATCATTATAAATTAATCCTAACCCGTTTAGACGGTAAAAGATTAGTTGTCAGCACTGTACAGGATATCGGTATCTTCCCACACAAAACCTATTCACCTTTTTTTTTTTTAATATTTTCTTAAATTATAGGAAGTAAATCTATTGTAATTGTGTGCAAGTAGAGCATAAAGAACGGCAGACATGTCTTATGGACCCTGACAAGTAGCTGAATAGAACCGGTGATTTAGAGTTGAGAAATTTTGTTTTTCACCTACTATTGTGTGCCTATTGTCATCCCTCTTGGACAAATTAAATAAAAAAAAGGACTACCGGGGTAGAGGGGGGAGACTAGTAAACATATGGCAAAACAATAAAATCTTATCGCAAATTAATATCCTTTCAAAAAATATTCAATCAAAGTAGAAATTGCATGATGCGAACCAATGAACACATTAAAAGTACTTGTTTCTATCTTCATTGAACTATGAATACGAAGCTAAAAATAATCAATGCATGAAAAGAATTAAAGAATGAAGGTCCCACAAAAGACATCGACAGCAAGAAATATTAGCCACAGTAGTCAGTGCTTATTGCATAATA